TTTGAACAATTCTAGATCCAATGAGACATGCTATCTGAGAATTGACCCAATGACCTCAAAAAATACTCAATGCACAAGATAATACTGCACCAAAATTCTTATCAAAATCAAAATCATTAAAATTGAATTCGAAAACGGCAACGTGAAAACCAAACATGAAAATTAATTTCAGTTTTTGTTCAGCGCTTGATCGACATATGGTTAATAATCGAATCACGTGTGGTCAATTTTCAGACCTCGTCATTGTTGTTTGCGTACTTGTTTCAATGACAAAAATAATGTTTATTCGATCATTAATTGATAATGCTGATAAATGGCAATCATTCAACATTAGTCAGAGGAAAATCCATTCTATTCCTATAATGTTCCTGTGTTTTAATGTGAACAATTTTCTTTATACTGATTTTCCATCAAAATGGTTCAAATGAGATGGTCGATTGGTATTATTGACAATTCTTGAGAAGTGGTCAAAAGTTCATCGAAACTTTTTCCAGATGTTAAAGTGTTATGAGGTTATGTCTTACGTAGAAGTATATAATCCATAGTGGTCGAGCAATATCGACAGCATCACAATCAACGTCTATCAACAACTATCTCAATCTCAATGCTTCGCAATATCAATTTGAAGTATAACAACTGTTTTCAAGTGGATAAATCAATATTTACAAAACAGTCATAATAAAGATATGTTTCGATGCAAACAAACATCTTAATTCACTACACAAAACTAATTATTTTTCTATCAAACGCTAATTTAAGCATATTTCTCATAAACGCCATAGTTAGTATCGTTTTAGCAATCTGATTGCTCTATTTTGATCAAAGCGAGAAGCCACTAAGTAAACACATAAAGTTTATTAGATACCTGTTGCTGATATATATAAATATAGAATTGAACGTGTTTTAAGTTGATTGGTAACAATGATTATAAAACGATGTATCCAAATGTTTCAATTCATTTAAATTCATTCTCGACATGTCTGAATTCAAATTACTCTCATTCTCGTTGATTTTTATTCCATTCGTTTTAAATCAAGTGCCATCAACTTGTAGCGAATTTTATTTGATTTATTTTTTACGCTCAGGCAAAACTAGGTTCGCTGAATTAGAGCCGATGATAGAACAATCATCGTTATTATAAGATATATCGAAGCCTGCTACTCTGTCCCATTGATGCATATGTAAATGGTTATCTTTATAGTGTTTAATGATGTAGCCACACATTTACACATTAAATCGTTTATCGTTTTTCGAAGTTCAGTGCCTTTTCGGTTTTTTTTTTTGAAAAAATGGCACGTTGCTGCAAAAATATATAAAAAGCATCAAATGATGAGATTATAATTTTCAAACTCGAACGTGAACATATTTAAAAAGTGACGCCAATTACATTTTTTGATATATTCGAGTCGTTTGGAATTAACTGAATCGCGTTTTAAAAAGGCACAATCAATACCAATCCATTGTTTCATTCAATCACATGACTATATTTTAATTGCGGCTTTGTGGTTTGACTAGTTTTTTTCTCTTTCTCTCTCTGCGACACCGGCAAAAACGTTTCAGGTCACGAATTATCGTAGTCACATGTATGCAATCAAACTTCCTCGTTTACTATCGACAAATGCGGTTTTTGATTTTGAATATTAATTTTGAACTGACGATTTGAATGTTAATTTCTTGTAAAACAACTTGTTGAACATACCATATTATTGAGTTCGAAAAAACGTGTGCTTTTTTACAATAATTTGTGCTGTTTGATGCTGTCATTGAGTTTTGGCATAGCACGAAAGACTGACCTTAGAACTTTTTACGCATATTTAATGTTTGGAAAACTATAAAACAAAGATTTTCTTTTGTCGTTTTGAATATGCGTACAATGTAATGCTAATTTTTTTTATTTAGGCCAAAGTATGGTCCGTCTGTTTTTTCTTCATACGGATTTTATTTTTATGGACAGAAACAAACGAACTACGCGCTCAACGACAGAACATTTAGTATACAAGAACAATAACATTGTTTAGAATAGACTAATAGTTGTGACTGTAGTATATGTAGGTTTAACAGTGGATTTGGCCGCCTGGTTGTTTATCTTTTTAAAAATAAAATACTACTGTTATCAACTGTGATTTGAATGAAATGAAATTTTATTTGGCAGATTAGCTAAAATTAGCTAGAGCTAAACGGTTTAGCATCGATCCAATTGGAGCAGATATGGCTACCCCGTTTGAGAATAGCATTGACGATGTCAGCAGTATAGCAGTTCAACAGCGAACAGGTACATATATTTAACATTATAATTCAAAACAAAACTGACTTTGACAATGTCAGAATGCTGTTGTTTATAAAAACAATACAATTAGCTCTCGTTTAATTGTGTATTTGCATGCAAGCAATTCTTATCAAATGAAATATAAAATTGGCAATTATTTTTTGTGATTCATTTGCAAATGTGTAAAAAAGTGTGTCGCCGCCTGTAAAAATGGAAATTGTCTCAATTGTTTAATTTCCAAAACGGCGCGCCATTTCTTTTTTATTTTTGGTGTCTGTCACACAAGATTATAAATGATAATTTAGCATTTTTTTGTGTCAATTCCCTCATTTCAGATTATTCAAATGATTATTCAGAGCAATGGCCACCGGTGTGTAGTATATTTGTGCGAAATATGCGTCGAATGCACAACGATCGCAAGAAAATACTGATGAATCGATTGCCAGTTTTGAAATGGGTTCCATCGTATCGTCCAAGTTATCTATTTTATGATTTCATTGCCGGTCTAACAGTCGGTCTAACAGCAATACCGCAAGGTATTGCATATGCAATTGTTGCCGGTCTTCCGCCACAATATGGCCTCTATTCAGGATTTATTGGATCATTTGTTTATTTAATTTTTGGTAGCTGTAAGGATGTAACAATAGGTAAACCGAAAATGGAACTGGACGTTTGATTGAAATGCAATTTCATTTGAAATATATCCAATCTTGATTTCTTCTTTTTTTTTTGTTTTAACAGGACCGACTGCAATTTTATCACTATTGATTCAACGTTACGTGGCTGAAAATATTGATTTTGCAATATTTCTAACACTTGTGAATGGTGCACTGATTTTTATTTTTGGCATGTTAAATTTGGGATTTTTAGTTCAATTCATATCGGTGCCGGTAAGTTCTGATCAATCAAAACAACGTCAATCGTTATCATGAAAATGTCACATTATTAAAATAGGTAACAGTCGGTTTTACGACTGCGGCCGCAATGACAATTGGAAGTAGTCAAGTAAAATCGTTGTTGGGAATAAAGGGTTCAGCAAATGGTTTTATCGAATCTTGGATGAGCGTTGTTACACACATTCAAGACACCAAACTATGGGACACTTTGCTTGGCGCAACAACCATTATTGTTTTACTATTGCTAAAGGTAATGATAATCACGATTTTATTGTGCTGCATTTTGTTGATTATGATAAATCATGAGAATAAAGTGTATTTTCTTCGGTTTCAGAATTTGAAGTACAAAAAAAATTTACGCGATGTTGAACCTCAATCAATTTGGAAAAATGAATGTAAAAAGTATTTATCATTGGGACGCAATGCGATTGTTGTCATTTTTGGCACAATTTTGGCATACGTCTTGAACATATATGGAAAACAACCATTCACATTGACAGGTATGCACGAAACGATTTATAAAATTTACAAAACAAAACAATTTGTAATCATCTAATAAGTGAATTGTAATCAATTATTGTTACCTTCATTATCTTATCACAACTTGTCTATGTACTCAATTTTCTGCACGTGACTTTGAAAAAGAATGAAACACTTTGCGCCACATTAGAATGTTAATTGTGGATTTTTGTTATCATACATTTCGCATTTACCCGAGTTAATCTGTTATACGTTTGCCAATGTTTGTAGACGTTCAAGCAAAGCTTTATATTGATTTTTCAATTGCACGATGTGTGAAAGATGTCAACTTCTTCTCAGTGCGCACACTTTTCTTGAAAGTGCTGCCCTTTTTTTATATTCAGGTGCAACACTTGAACAATTATAGAATGAACTTCTCCGATGCCAAAAACCGTTCTGTTTCTTCCAGAATCGAACGTCTCACATATCGGAATGCCATTTACTTTTAAATTTAATTTTTCCTGAATATTTGAGAAAATAAGTTCGAAAATATATTAAAAAACAAATTTTGTTCGTATAGGTCGAGTGGCTTCTGGATTACCCGATATCAAAGTACCTCCAATGCAAACAACTATTGGAAACGAGACACTCTACACAATTGACATGATCACTCATGTCGGTTCATCAATAATTGCATTGCCATTGATTTCGATTCTCGAGAGTATCGCTGTGGCCAAAGCGTTTTGTAAGTATTAGAAAGTAGACACCAGATTTTCACACTTTCGATATTTAATTTAATGCAAAATCACTTTATTTTCGAATAGCCAAAGGTAAAACGATCGATGCTACACAAGAAATGTTGGCACTTGGACTGTGCAATTTGATTGGTGCATTTTTCCAATCAATGCCGGTGACGGGTTCGTTTACTCGAACCGCTGTCAATAATGCAAGTGGTGTACGCACCACACTCGGTGGAATTTTTACTGGATGCCTTGTTTTATTATCGCTCGGTTTCTTAACCGATTCATTCCGTTTCATACCAAAAACGACTCTGGCCGGTGTCATCATCTGTGCGATGATGTTTATGGTGGACAAAGAAGATATCAAAGAAATTTGGCGATCGAAACGTATGTATTTTTGGGACTTTTTTTTTGATTTTGTGAAAAGTTCTATAATGAAGATTTCTCTTATCAATTAGGTATCGATATTATACCGTTCATCTGTACCTTAATTGCATGCCTGATGATTTCCATCGAATTCGGAATTATAATTGGAATTGCTATCAATATTTCGTTTGTATTATATACAATTGCAAGACCTGTTATTCATGTCTATAATCGTAAGGTGAGAAAGTCTTATTTAACAAAAAAAATACACTGTCAAAAAGTCACTGCAATTGTGATTACTGTTTTAAAATTTCATTTCAGATCATGGAACAAGAACTATTAATCCTGATGCCAGACCAGAGTTTGACATTCTCTTCATCGGACCATTTCAAGTACAAAATATTAAAATATGTTGTTCAAAATACACCAAAAATCGTAATCATTGACGGTCGTTTTATTCACAATATCGATGCAACAGTGGCCAAGGTACTAAATTTAAATATGACTGTTAAACATTGAATATACGTTTAATTTGAAAACTTTTCATTCCATTTCGTTTGCAGTCGTTGTGCACCGTTGTCGAAGACATGCATTTGCTACACCGAAAAGTTTATTTCTGGCATTGGAACAAAGAGCCAATGGGTGTGTTATGTCGATTGAATTCGAAGATGTTTGCACTCTTCAAAGATGCACAAACCGAAGATGAATTACTAAAATCGGTCAGTTTGGAAAATGGCAAAGAAGGGACGGCCATTCGAATTTCAGCCGACACATGATTCGATAAAATTACACATTCCTTATTGAGCGAGAGAGATAGATAGAGAGAGAAAAAAATATGAGTAACTGTTTGTAAAATTAGAGAAGGAAAAAGTCTGATGTGTTTGTGCTGCTTTGAAAATATATGAGATGCCAAATGAAATATTGATCAAATTGCTTGCACACACACAATTGTTAAGAAGAAAAGCCTTCCGTTGTATAGATTTAATAATGTCAACATTTGACAATTGTCAAATATACTTACAAGATAAATGCTTTTGTTTTCTATGAAGACCTTGACTTTGTGTATATCAGGTCACGATAGGCTATATCTTTGCCAAAGCTAATCTTTGCACTTTCACAAAATACAACAGTCAATTGCATTTGCAATGCATTTAGTTAAATAAAAGACAAACGCTCAACTTCGTTGATGTCACACACACACACACATATATACCTTTTTTTCTCGGCTTAAGTTTGTTTTGCAAGAAAATTGTGTATTCATATGTTATAAGTAAACGAAACAATTTAAATTTCTTTCAACAGATGCCAAACAGATTAAGCAAATTGTTAATATTGTTGTTATTTTTGTTTATGCACATCGATCGCAAAGAAAAAGTATTTATTATAAGACGTAATTATCGTCAAAAAATTATATTCAATTATACATATTGTCGTTTTATCGTATAAAATAGAATAAAATCAAGGATGAAAGAAATTTTTGGATTTTTTATTTGGATGGATCTATTTTTAGGAAAATGCTTTAAAGGAATGAACGGCATGCGATCGAATCAACTGCAGGGTTGTTGTTACACACCGGAGAAGTGCCGGCACTTATTTTATATAATTTTCAAGCGCCGCACCTGAATAGAGAAAGAGAAAAAATTGATATAATAAACAGCAGCATTTTACAAACAAAAGCACCCGCACATCCGCCGCACCTCTGATCAATTGTCAAAAGCTGATATGATATAATTACTTTTTTTATAATTAATCAATAATCGTAAACAATGTAAATATTTCGGAGTCAAGTGCTTTGAAATCACGAGTGGCTGTTACTCATACGCTAAAATAGAATTTAGTAAAACTTCAATTGGTCGTAAGTAAATAAAAGAACTCAATCGTTTTTTTGTTATCGATGAATGTTTTATTATTTAAACTAATATATATCTATCGCATTATTTTTTATAGTATTAATTAGATACAGATATATGATTCTTTTTTTTAATTCTTGTATGTGTGAGTGTGTGTATGGTTGTTTTAATTGTAATTTGTGTATTCTCATTGTTGTTGCATATTTTTTCGTTCGTTTAAAATTTTTCTTTTTTATAATTTTTTGTTCATTTTATCTTCTTGATTTGCATTTCATAGTTTTCCGCTATTCTTCATGTTCATTTTTTTCCATTTATACCAATTCCAAATTTCATGATATAATTTCTTTTTTTTTAAATAAATTGCTCATTTTTATATGTTTTTTTTTTTTTTGGTTTTGCACAATTTTATTTGTTCATCATTTTTTTCCTTTTTTGTTTAGTTCATTCATTTCAATGGTATAAAATTATGCTTAGTCAAGTGGGAATCGTTCACGATACGGGCGATTTGGTTTTCTAATAATATGCATCAAAAATGTGGTGTTTCAATCTATTGTAACAACATGATGGATGATGCATTTCATCGTTTGTTATTGCGTTCGTTTTATATATAATTCTTTTGTTTTGTTTTCTTTTTTTTCAAAATTTCTTTCAATTGATTTTACATGTATTTTGAAAAAAAAAATCATATTCTTTTTAAAAATTGGTATCTGCACTTCATTTTCATATATTTTTTTAATGTTTTGCTTTCATTTTTTTAAAAAAAAATCTAACACAAATACTAATCTATGCCATTCAACTTAAATGGAAAATACTGATTTTCACTTTGCGAAAACAAAATAAAACAGATCTAGGTGCAACCTTGATTTTAAATAAAAGTCGCCATTTAACATTAAGAACAATGGATCCTTGCGAATTCATTTTACATCTCTCTATAATTTTTATTTTCTTCTCTAGTTTTTATTTTTTGCACTTTTTCATCATTTGCATCCAGTTTTTTGTTTTCAATATTTTATTTAAACTTTCTTTTCGCATATTTCTTCATTTTTCTCTCTCTCTCTTTTCATTCAATTTTTTGAAACATTTAGCACTCTATTAACTATACATTATTTTCACTTTGTCTGTTTCTCTCTCAAAATATACTTAAATTTGAATTCAATAATAAATGCATCATCTTCGGAATAATTAGAGATTCCAACACAAATTGCAGCAATACAAATTTGGTGTGAAAAAAATTGACCGTTATTTTATACGATAACGACGTTTTGCATTTTTATTAGTTTTCGCTGGGTGTGTGTTTGTGATTTTCTTCATTCAAACTAGAAAAAAAAATGTAAACTTACAAATGGAGTTCATTTCAATAAAAATATGCACATTTTAATTGTTTTTTTCTTTAGATCCCAGTAGCGAAATTACATTGCCAATCATTAACATTAAATTTCAAAATGCATACCAATTGCGGAACGACTGGCTCACGAGAAATGGATTTCAAGACCGTTGCACTTTGTGATTCTGATTTTTTCGACGTGATTTTGTCTTTTTCATTTTTCGTCAAAAAATTTTTTTTTAACTTTTTGAAACCCATTTCTCATGTGCCACCGTCCGTCAAAATGCTCAAAATTTTAAATAGAGACCAAAAGTCGTATTTTGGTTTTATCTTTTCTCTAGTTGCACTTAATTCCTTTAATTAGCTAAAAAATAATTTGAATTTTTTTTTGTTGTAGTTTACTCCGACTTTTTTGCATCAATGCGGAATGATCATCTCTTTTGCGTTTGTTGTTTTATTAGGAGACAAAAATGTAATTACATAAAATTAGGAACAAAAATACTATATATTTTCTTTTATTTATCGCGCTCATCTCTCCGTTTCTTCAATGTTCTAATGTGGATTAAGCACCGTTCATGAGTGTAACATAAAAAAGCCGAGTCGATTTAAAAATTGGCATTTCCTTCGATTTTTAATCTGCTGTTTGATGATTTCAATATGTTTTGGATTTGAAATTCTTATAATCTAAAACGTTTGAAAAAATTGTATCTACTACATGGTTTTCGTTTAAAATTGGAGTAGCAGCAACAGATACCAGATCATTTCACTGAAATTCTTCCATATTATTCCAAAACATTCGCTTCTTCTTTTAATATTCTTATCAACATGTCATATTGAACTCATCGGTGTTTGTTTTTTTTATTCATGTGATAAACTTACAAAATAACCAAAATGACACGAGAATTTGACTATTCGATAAAATTTTGCTCTACAAAAGCATATTGAATATTTCCATGAAGAGATCTATTGAATCAAAGCTCAATGCCATTTGATTAAAAGAAAAATTGCTCAAAAGTAATCGAAAAATATAATCGACTTCTTTTCTGTGTTTGTTTTGTTTCCCATCTAGTGTAAATAAATCCCTTTAATATTTACCAATCTGTTAAATTTGCGCTCAAATATGTGTATCTTTTTTTAAATTCAAAAACACTTCAACAAATATTGTTCTTGATCGGACTACGAAACACAAAAATTGTGAACAAAAGGATCCATTGTTTGAATTGCTACATTATTTTTAGACTTGACGATGTTATAACGTAAACTCAACGACGTGAATACAAACAAAAATATTCAAAACAAAAGGCAAAACTAAAATGAAAAAAAAAAAAGAGAAATAAAATACTTGAATAAAATGTCACTTTCTCACTCATTTGCATCTAAATATACATATGTCAAGTAACTTTCAGTTTTGTTACAAGTTAAAGATGCAGTTCGATTTACTATTGCACATCAGTTTGAATAAATCAATAAAGATCTCATTTTTTAAAAAGGATATATATTTAATATGAGATAAAATTTCTTCCACTTTCGCAACATTTCACCGAATGAGAAAGAAATAAACTATTTTCCAAATAAAAACAGTGCAGTTTAAAAGTGTGATTTCACATTTCCGAAAAAGGCCAATGTCAACGCAACACAATTGTTTCTTTTTTTATACATTTACATCATGTTTCATGTCGAAATGTTTGCCAATCGCATGGTTTACGCATTGGATGATTTTTTTCCAATGATAAAAACTTACGATGTATTACATACATATATCTTTCTCTGCCACACCGAAAGAAAAAAACATTCATCATCATATCGATCGGTTTTTATTATTTGTTTGGGGTTTTATTAGTTATTTTATTTAAGTTCGTGTTATGCATGGGTTTTTATAAGTTTATTGTTTATTTTTTCAATTTATTTAATTTTTTTTATTATTATTATTTATGTTTTATTTATTATGGTTTTATCATTTTGTTTATAGCCAGAAATACGCATTTTAAGTTCGGTATTAATGTAGATTGAAAAAGAAACTCAATTACTTGTATGGATGTGTGTTGTGTAAGTGTTTGTGTGGGTGTAGGTGTGTGTATGTGTGTGTGTGTGTTTGTTATTTTAATTCAGTTGAATTCATTTTTTTTGTATGTTTTTTTTATCAATATTATCATTTTGTAATTGGTTGATATTATGATCTTAATTGAAAAATTATGTGATTTTAATCAATTTTCTTCCCACATTGCTAAGACACTACTACTATTATGTGTGTAAATGGTCGCCTTTTGAAATGGTCGGAAGCAAATAACTAAAATCACACTTCAATTTTCGATCATTAGTAATAAGTAATAATAATTGCGATGATAAATAATGGTAATATTTTATTGAATCAATTAAATCAATTCGCATGAATCTCTTTCTATCTCTCAGCTTAAGCTATTTAGTTCTCATATCGTTATCATATCTCTTGTCAATTTTCGGTCATATTCGAATGCATTAACATGCTCAAAGGCAAAAGCCTTTTTGAACTGGTTCCATCAATAGTTATTATCCATTTGGGGGCATATTTTGATTCGCATCATTAACTTTAATGGAAGTCGATGAAAAAGCCCATTTCTTGTTATAGTTTGATTACAAAGAGCTATGAAAAGTGAGATGTGCTCATTTTTTTCAAGCTCAAAATCTCGACAAGTTTTTTTTTATTTCCATCAATTTAATTGTGAACATTTATGGATTTCGATGCATTCGAAATTTGCAAATTTCGACAAAGAGTATTATTTACGAAGCTGAGGTAGCTTTGATCGGATTCATGCCTGAGATACGCTCAAAACCGTTTGTCCCATGGTTTTACTTTCAAAAAAGACGAGAAAAACAAGTAGTGACCACACATCGCAATAATATTTGCTTGGTAAACAAAATATTCGCAAATTTGCAGTTTGAAATTGCTTCGGAAAAAGATTTGGTTGTCTGGTATTTAATTGGTGGGGTGTGAGGGACTTAAAGGTTGGTTTGTGCGCATTGAGCAAAATGGAACCAATGAAAACTAAGCCGATTTGAAGAATCTGATTCTTGCAATTGGTGACTACAATGTGTTATTAATTAAAAACGGTGATGAAAAATTTATTGATACGCCTTAAGATTTGGTTGTCTCTTAGCAATCTGTTTTTTTTGTCCATGAAGTTTCTGATTTAAATTCACTGATAATTACATTCACTATGGCTATTGGTATAAATATGTTTGGCTGATATATTTGAATAGTTTTTTTTTTGTTTGTTTTGTTTTGTTTTTTTGTCGTCGAATAGTAGAAGCAGTGGAAATGAAATGGAAATTTTTCTTTGGAAAAGATTGATTTCATATGAATTGGAAAAAATGAATTGATTTTTTTTCTTTTCGTTTTGATTATTTGATGTTGAAAACTAATAAAATTAAATGCATTTGTTTTTCGTCGAATGGCCGAATGGGCTCGAAGTAGTAATGAAATTCGAAATACAAAATGTGAAAATGAACGAAAAAGAAAATCAGGAAACATTTCTTATAATTATCTTATTGGTTATGATAATTGTTATGCTCTAGATTCTATCTCCATTAAAGTTGATTTCAAAAAGGGGTTTCAGTTAATGGGTTTTTTGTTTGTTAAATTCCAAGTTAATAATAATTATTTTCTTTTCATTTTGTTTTTTGTTTGTTGTGGTTGTTATTTAAATTCTTATTTATTCATTCGGTTTGTTCATTTCATGTGTTGTTGTTTTGTGTATGAGAGTAATAAAACTGTTGTTGAATGTGTGAAGACAATGATCAAGTGAGTCACGCATCAATTGATCGGTTTTCGTTGGTTAATCACGTGAAATGCGTGAACCATTGAAATTGTCTTTTGGGCTATTGCAACTAATCGATTAATAAGTATGTTGGGTTTTTTCCATCTCCTTTCCCATCTTCGCCTCTTCGCCATCCTTCTTCTGCCATTTCCATCGAATCATGGTTTAAATTCTTACATATTGTTAGCTGTTTCATTTGATTTTGGTTTTTGTTGTTGTTGGTTCATCGTTTATAAATGCTTTTGAGCGGAATATTTAAGTTAATATTTGTTTTTTTTTTTTTTATAATGTTCTCGTTTACATATTTATTCACTTTCAGTTTGGCATTTTGGCTTCATTTTTTTTTTTGTATATTTAAAATTGTATTTCAATTGTTTGTTTGTTGTTTGATGTTGGATGTTTGTTTTACGGTTTATTCAATTCGGATCAATGGGAAATATATTTTCCTTATGTGTGGTTTAGTCGTCATGGTATTTATTTTTTTTTTTTATCATTATTATTATATATTTGTGTTTTTTTCTCTCATCAATCATCAGTTTGTTCGTCGTTTTAATTCGATTATTCCTGGGTACCAATTCGTCAATTTGCAAAAAAGTAGCTTTATTTTGTGCTAAACTACTTGGTATACAATCAGCAATATCATAGTTTTGTTGTCGCACAATCGACACGTTTTAAAATTGATCGTGCACAATTCGTTGGTTGAATGATTTCTCCATTGCGCTTTCATGGCAGCAGCAATTACTTCGCAGCAATTTTGTTTCTATTACGAACGAATTGTGCAATGTGCGACGTTAAACTCGACATAATAACAATTTAAAAAAAACGGTTTCCTTTTTTTTTGTATATGGGCAACGGTTCATGAGTTTGAATGATTTCTGTCGATCACATCATATCGACAGACACAACACCATTTTGGCAATGTGCAAATATATTTCATTCATTTTCTCTTTTGTTTTAGTTGTGTATGTGGAAAAGTAGTTATTATAGTCAGGGAGATTTGCAATTGAGCGTGTATTTCCGTCCGTTTCGCATATCCTCATTCCATAACATTTTTTTCTTCTTCTCATTTTTGACAGCATTCTAAGTATTATGTTCACAAGACGACATAGTCATCGGTAAAAATGACTCATCAATTAAACTACTTTTAAATTTTTTTTTGTTTGTTTTAAATTAGTCTACAGAATTTACACTGTACATGATCTTCTTCTGTGTCTCTTACTATTCGTTCATGCAGATACTGTTTCAACACGACACAAAATGCCATCACATTGAGATGCGAATCTCGTTTGATCAAAGATTTTACTGTGCAGATTCGGCCGTGACAGTGTCCATTCCATTTCTTTTCATTCAATTTTTATCTTAATTTAGTTTTGGGAAATTATACTCAAAGTCATTTAAATTGCCGAAAGTTTATTAATTCGTTTATCAATATAGATATTATTTTCATTTTTTTTTTGTTCGTTAAATTTGCACACCAATTTTTTGCAGTTACTAAAGTTTTTTTCCTTCTTCTAATTATTAATTTAAAATATATTAATTTGCCAAATAGTTGTCATTCGACAGCAAATACAATGGCAAAATGGAAAATGTTCAAAATGAAAGAAATTCTTTTGTCCGAAGATGAAATCTTTTTTTTTTTGCTTCCGAACATTTTTTATTTTGGAAATGGGATATTCGCTTTCGGATTTCCGAACACCATTGCCATTGTATTCGTTGCGAATGATAAGCGCACCTTATTTACAATAAGTGCTAACAAATTCTACTTCCACTGTACAGCCAGAAATCTGTGTATTGTGCGAACGATTCACGCAAAATAAAAAAAATATTCAATACATTATCCCCCCCAAATCCCCGAATTGAGGAAATTTGAAACTGGTTTTGTTTGGAAAGTACAATTATACACACACCACAAAAAAATATTTAGTTCAAATGTTTGTTTTTCATCTTTTTATCGTAAAAGTTAATTTCAAGATAGGACTTTTTTTTTCTTTTAAAAATATTACAATAGAATTTTGTTTTTCATATTTTTCGCTTGGTTTTTATGTTCAGAAAATTTATTTTTAACTTACTTATCGAAACATTTTCTCTGCCAAAAAAAATTAATGCAACGGATTTATTAGAATGTGTATGTGTTTTCTTGACTTGTTTTTTTTTTTTTTCGAAAATTGAGCTTTAATTTTAATAGCTATTATTTACATGACACAAAATGATAGTTAAATGAATAGAAAATCCAAAATTCTTGACTTGTATGTGTGTCGAACATTCTCCACTGGATTCCATGACGTTTTTCTTTATTTTTTTTTTCTAGCCTGAATGCCACGAATCAAGAGCCAAACGAGAACGATTTAATGCGAAAAACTCAGAGATTATGTACCAAAATCAAATGGCTACAATTTGCAACCATTTTTCTTCTATTTTTTTCTGTTTGTTTTGAAAGAACGATGGCTCGCTCCTTTTCAGGTAGTTTGTTTTTTTTTTTTGTGATCAGTCTTTTGGTTTCCAGAAAAAAAATCTATAAACTCATTTTTATTATGTTCCTTTTGAATCTTGGTTCGTATTTTTCTTTGGCGTTGACAAAAACACTGATTTTTTTTTTATTCAAAAAATGATCGTTTTTTTTTTCAATTAATGGTAACTTTATTTGACCATGATACGGAAGAATGTAGTGTGCTTTGCACAATGTCAACGCTTTGGACTATGGAATACATTATGATTGGGTTTTTTTTTGTGTGGAAAATGTTCATTCGCAACAACAATCGAAAAAATGGTTTAATTTATCACCGTGCATCCCTTTTGAAAAAACAAAATAAAAATATTCTTATAGAATTCAAATGATCGTATGTTATTTGTAAAAATTTTGCATTATCTTTTTTCTTCTCTTTTCGTTTCGTGATTATGAACTTTAAGGAAATGAATTAAAAAAAAAAAAAATCTTTTATGATAATATGGCAGCTTGTGATGTATAACACTCATCTTTTTTTTTTGTTTCAATAAAATGATTTTTACTTTTTATTCTCGTCGCTTTTCTTTAAATGCCTTATTTCCTGATTCATAATTTGCAGTGACTACGTTTTAAAAGTTTTATTTCGCGCGCATATTTTCAACTTTCTTCTTTGTGTGTGTATCTTTTGTCTTCGTCATTTTTACCATAATGATTAATGATAATTGTAACAATAATAGTAAGAATGCCTATAATTAACGTGTAAAATTATTAAATTAAAGGGAAACATGGACTAAAATGTATCTCTTCTTTCTCTTTGTTCATTATCTTCTTATTAGATTTTTTTTTTGTTTTCATTTTTTTCGTTTTCAATAATATAGCAAATAGCAATGAAGTTTCGTCCCGGTATTAGCCCGATCCCCGAGAAATATATATATATGTGTGTGTGTTTGTGGACTGGAAAGCCATCGTTTTTATGTGGTGGTGGCTTATGAATTCGTTACGTTTCGGTGTAATTATTGATTGTGACCAGGATGTGCTTGAGCTTGATGATTACCAAGCGCGAAACCCAATGCACGTGGATCGTTGCCGTGAAGTCGAAGCGCCTGTTCGAGTCGTTGTTCTTGAAATCGTAATGCTTCGCTCAGTTCAGGTGATACATGTTGACCAAGCTGATGACTTCCGATCAATGGATTTTGATTTTGCGCTCCAGACGTATCTATTGTTTAAATAATTTAAAACGATTATTTTTCCACTGTCACACCACTGATCTTCGAAAAACGGTTAACATTTTTGTTCGATCCGACTGCGATTTGTTTTTCCTATGCCCAAAAACAATGTCTTACCTGAATTAGTTTGTGGCATAAAGGATCCGTTGTGGTGTCGCAAAGCGTTAACGTTGAGTTCATTGGCTGTATTAGACGAGTTTCCATTGCTGTTCGCCGGATTATTATTGGAATTGTTGGTATTGTTGTTCGAGTTATGTGAATTATCTGTAAAATAACGAGAAAAATGAAATCACACTTTAGATTCGATTGTTTAATGCAATTTATGATCGAATATATATTGTGATCATAAATAGATTGAAAAATAAAAGAAGGAAAAACAAAAAAAAAAGGCAAATTGTGAAAGAAAAGTGTTAGAATGAAATACCAAAATATTGAGGGGGAGGCGATGCTTCAACAGAACGAACCTGATGTAATATTACAAAAGTGCGTTTTTGGCAAACTTGTAATGTTACTGTTGGCTTGTTTTGTTCCGCAGGGTCATAGATTTAAACAGCCGGTATGTCTATTACCATTAAGATTATTGTTTGCATTGGCTGTTGTGGATGCAGCAACGGCGGCTGCTTGTGAAACGGCCAAACGCAATGCGGCTTCGGCTTGGGAGCGTAGAATTGCTTCGGCTTGATGAATTCGTAGTGCCGCCTCTGGCGAATGCTGTGTATGATGTTGAAGGTGATTTTGAGATTGATTTAATTGCATCGACTCCGAATTATTATTGTTCATTGTCGATCGCATCATTGAATCGGCCATTGACACTCGCATCGCATTCATTGCAGCCTGAGCTGCCGCTGATGCATCATTTGGTGCCATCAATGGCGATGAATTCGTTGCATTATCCAAATTTCCCATCGATGAACCATTATTCAATGACTGCTCAGTTCATAAAATGCGAGAGAGAGAAAAAGAAAAATTAGAGATAATCGACGGTTTTAGTTTTCACATGAACAAAATATAAAAATGTGATTTATGTGACCTTTATTAAATCAAATTGAATAGATGCCACACTCACTTGCTGATGTTGTTGCTGGTTATTTTGTTGATTGTTTTGCTGATGTTGATTCTGTTGCTGTTGTTGTTGCTGTTGCTGTTGCTGTTGTTGTTGCTGTCCTATTCGCATCGCTGCTGCCAAATTAACGGCTGCCTCTGTCATTAGTGCCATTCGATTGGCCGAATGCAAGTCATCATATTGTGGATTCAAATGGCCATTATCTAAAAAGAAATGATGCCATTTTGTATTTAATAAAACGCCAATTTATTTTCGATATAAAATACATGCAAATAAAATTAAAAGTTTAAAAAAAAGTTTGACATTGAATTTGGTTTCGAGTGACGGAAAAATTTGTATTCATAATTGTTTGGAAAAATTCCGAAAGACTTGAGCAAAAATATTGAAAACTGACGATACATATATCGTGTCACGAAGCCGAAAATTGGAAATAGATTCACTTTTATGCGGTGCGTGGTAGATTTGGGAAAGTTCAATCAATTTAAAATTGATTTCTTAAAATAAAACGATATTTAATTTACATTTGTTATTGTTATTGTTGTTGAGGAGACCAATACCCGCTTCAGATCCGGCTGATGATAATCGACCATTATTTGAAGAGCTATCCGATTGTGCTGATGGTGACGGACACATCGAATTTTGGCCAACACTCGATAGACCCAATAGCCCCGATCCGGATGCAGAAACTGCTGCGGCTGCAGCCAATAATGTATCGCGTTCTCTACGTTCGGCCGCCGCTCGTGATAGCACATACTGTGCGGCAAATTGATGTTTTGGATCCATTCTCATATGCTCCATGTGTGTTAATAGGCCTTTTTGAAAAAGATTAAAGATTGAAAAAAGAATATTAGCATTTGGTTTATTCAATTTTGGATCTTTAATGGTCATAGGAAAATTGAAATGGATGGAAATTGAATAATGTTAAAGAAAAAAGATGTTCTAAAATCGCCGTACCTGATTCATGAGTAAAGACAGCTTGACATACTGAGCATGGCCACATGCGTAAGCTTGTTGTCAGTTGTGACGTTTCTGGATGGCATGCCAAATGTTTACGTAATGAGCCTTCGTTCACATAATGCTTTCCACACACAGGACACGGATGATTGGCAGTGCGCCGCTTGCCTAAAAAATCGGTCGGGGATGGGGGCACAGCAGAGGGAGATACAAGTACAAATTCAGGTCAATGCATTGCTCTCAAAACGATTATTCTTATCAATTCACACAATTTTTTTTCTCTCATTAAAATGTGCTTATTTTAGCTTAGCTTAGATACTTACTGGCTGTTGCAGTATTGTTTGTTGTTGGTTCTTTGTGGCTGTGTTTCATGTGCTCCATGAGTGCATCGGCGCCCAAGAATAGTTTATGGCAAACTGGGCAAGACGTTGCATTTGGACCACCAATCAATGCTGCATGCTGCTGAAGAACACCCAAGTGTAGTTGCAATTCCTGTTTGAACAATAGTTTGAACCGTAACCATTAGACATTGTGATAAAATGTAATTTCTTTTCTCTTTATTTCAATGCCAATCGAAAAGTTGATGAAAAAAAAATGCTCATTCAAATGTTGAATAGCGTATTTTTAAAAGAGGGCTCACTAATTATATCACCGGCCAATATAAAAGTCTTAACAAGCGAATTCATCTTAAAAGTTTTTGTTTGTGTGTTTTTTTCAACCAAATTAGTTCGATCTTTTTTTCAACCGAAATTCATTTGAGCGTGCTAATACAGAGAAGCCCGTTCAAAATAATTTGTTATGTTGTATTTATTTCGTCTGGAAAAGTTGAATCGTTTTCCAATTAGCAACGTTAAAACTAGGAATTCGCTACGAACAAATGCCAAAAACAATTCACAAAATAAAAATCATTCAACAAATTTGTTTCTCTTTTTCTCTCCCTCTTTGGATGCCGGTAATTTTTCGTTTCGATATCCTTTGCATTGTTGTTGTTTTTTTTGCGTCTTTTGTTTTACTCTTTTGTGGCATTATTTGCTTCCAATTAGTGGATAATTTAATTAAGCACATGTAAATGCATTGCCGTGGCACAATTCGCAACGAAAAAAAAAATCTATTTATTGGTACGCACATTGAGTTTGGAACAATAAAACGTAAATTTCAATTGGGCGACTGATAGAATTTGAATCCATTATGATTTATTCAAACGAGAAAGCAAATAATTATAATAATTCACGTTAAATTAAAGCACACATATACAGTGAAGAAGAAAGTAAGAGAGAGAGAGAGAGAATGAGAAAAAAAGTGAAGCGAATGAAGGAAAAATGGATGAATCCATGCATATACACATTACACACCATATTTCTCGCACCATTAGAGACTTCGATAGAGACAAAAGTGTGCTTGCTGAAATAGAAACGAATCAACAACGTTCGGAAAAAAAAAATTCTCGTGTCTTTGCTGAAGAAAAAGAATACACCGAAAGAAGCTACTAACAAAATGTAACACGCGATTTGCATGGAATCGAAACATTCGGCAAATGAGAAATATGAATGCCGTGCCTTACAATGAAATCGCTAATTTGGAAGAGGGAAAATGAGACCAAAAAAATGTTGTATACATTATCGCACAGCGTGTGCAATGCAGTGAAGAGCTCAAGGCAATAAGAAACAGTCATACCTAGATTGGATTTTTTGCTTCTTTTTTTTACTTTTTCAATTCGAAATGATTTCGTCACTACACCATATATAACAACGCGAACGGAAAATGGAGAAGTGATCAAAATAAGATTCACGCTATGCATAATTAGAATAAATCTTCGATTCGAATGTTTTTTTATGGGGGGCGGGAGAAAAACATATTGCACAAATGCTATTGCATGTCAGAACGCTCTTTTTCCGTTTATATTTTTTATTATTCTTCTATTTTCTCTTTGTAGTATATGTGTTTCTATTTCGCCATTATACCATATTCTTTTTTTTACATATTTTTTCGTCATTTTCATTTTAAATTTTGTTGCTAGCTATTAAGTAAATGTCCAATATAATCCTCTGAATTCTAATGAATTCAGTGGGCTAAGTGGTAAAAATTGTGCCATTTTACAATGGAAAAATGTTTCAACACTTCCTTTTTTCGGAATAAATGATTATCAATGTGACTAATAAATGGCTAAAAAAACCAGCGAAGAATGACAACAACAAAAGCATTTGGAGAATCCCCAAAAAAATGACATTTTACCCGGAAAAAAAGAAATGTCATGAAAAGTTCAGGGCAATGCTTCTTTTTGTTCATTTCATTTCTTTTCTTTGCATATCTTTTTATTTGTTTTGAGTACACACAATGCACACGCACACTCTCACACCCAATTATGAATTTTGCGCCCACTCGTGTTCACTCAGTCTGTGGCGCACGTCAATTCAGCAATGGTGTGAAGCGACAGCAATTTACCATTAGTCCAATAAATAATACTGGGTCCCTTGGCGAATTCCTTCGCCAGTTATAAATGCCGAGCTGTCTGTTTGCATTATTAATCACTCGTGAAACTTGGCATACACGAAAAGAATTAAGAGAGAACGAAAGAAAACAACGGACGGAAGAAAGATTCACGAAGAAAAAAAAAATTATTTAAAAAGTAAATGCTTTTCGCTATCGACGATTTTTCTTCAATTTTTTCCATTACATTTCATTTTTAAAGACCATCCATTTGGTATCTCCCTCCGAATAGATTGAATGAGAGAGAGAGAGAGAGGAAAAAAACGCACCACCAACAATAGCCCGTGGAACAATTGAACGCGTTGTGCCGAGTGTGCCAAGAGAATAGACAGCACTAAAAAAAATAAACAAACAAACAACCAACCATTAAAAAAGCAGGCACCATTTATACGGACTTTTCAGCAAAAGAAGGAAAAAAAGAATATACAATCCTCCTCCTCTTCTATAGAATTGCTCTCCAGAGACAGTGCTAAACAAACAGTTATCATTTTTGATGTTTTTTTTTCTTTTTCTTCTGATTCGTTGCTCTTTCATCATTTCCATTTGCGCGCGTTTCCTTTTTCTCACCACTCGTGTCATAGAACACATCTACAAATTCTGTGTCCATTTTCATCAAATCAAAACTCTTGTGTCAACTCAAACTGTGTATCTTTGGCACTTTTTTTTCTTGGCAAATAGATGAAAATATGCAAAAAAAAGAATAACAAATGCCCTTTTTCGAACAAGAAAATTGTCCCTTTTTCTGACGATTTTTTGCTTCAGTTGTGATAAATTCAATCTTCGATCTTCATTTTTTTTTCACAAGACTGGCTTGGCTCTCATATATTTTATCAAGTGTGTCATTTGAAAAATTATTTCGCGAATTCGCTTTTTTAACAAATTAATATGCAGAGTTGTTGATAAATTAAATAAGGTTTATAAAAAACAGATGAGATTTTAATTATAAAATTAACCGAATAAAATTAATCGAGAAAAAAAATGATGAAAACCTTTAAAAAATAGTTTTGATTGTGACAAAAATAACATGAAACCATGCTATGTGGTCCAGGAAAAATGCAGAATATTTCGAAATTTGATTAAAATTTCAAACTGACACTCTGGACAAAAAATATTTGGGCAAAAGAGAAAGAGAGAGGGAGAGAGAGTCAAAAAAATGGTGAACGAAAAATTCAATGGCCAAAATTGGAAACGCCATCGACATGTGTAATGAATTTAACGTGAGTGCGTGTGTGTATTAGGGTGCGCCAAATGTTCTAATTTTTTCTACATACAAGCTACTAAACGTCGAGTGGAGTACTACATATTTCAAAAAAAAAAAAAACTCAAAATGGCTCCAATTCATTTTTTCCGCCCAAATTATCGGATTCTGACCGGGAAGAATTTTTTTTACGTTGTTTTGCCGTTTGACGTACCCTAGTGTATGTATATGGTTTCGATCAGGCATACAATGATTTTATCATCTAGATGTGGCATGTGTACATAAAAGCATCAGCTATAATGAGTACATAAGGTCTTTCTGGCTTTGAGTTGCATTCAACAATGATGAAAACGCGGAAACATTTTTTTCCCTTTTCATCTCTACAAATGAAATTCAAACTCTTTCTCTGTCGCACTGGGTGTGAGTGGGATTTTTTTTACCCCGAACGGTATAAAATATAAATATAGGAAAGAATGCAATCGAAATATATTGAATGCAGTAGAGTGGATTTTATGCGTTTAAACGAGGGTGCAAAATGAAAATTAAATAATTTCATGTGCGCGACAACAGTTGCGTTCATCATATGAAGTGCATTATGCGCGGCCATATTGCACATATAAGTCGGGATGCAATTCCACATATACGGTATATACACAAAGACGACGAGAACAAAGAGAGAGAGCGAGTAATAAGCACCACACATACTTTCACGCATACAATTGCGGCCCACGTATTCAATGCAATGAATGATGATGAGGGCATTGCACATTTAAATGAGAATGCGTGAATATTTACGTAGAAACACACAAAATTTGTTCGGTAATTTTTTTTCTCTCTCGCCTGTAAATGTATATCCATATATATTTTCTATTTTGGGTGCTATGTTATTCCGGGATGCAATTTTTCCTCTTTTTTGCATAGCACTTCAACTAAAAGTGGGGTCCAGTGTGTGTATATCGGATTCTATGCACATTGTATTGTTGCATTACTACGCCCAACAAATATGCGACGCACTTATGTATGGGTTTGTGTGCATTGTTGTGCATGTATTGGTGTGGAAAAATAAATGAGGGTGCGACAAGCGATAATAACATGGTGGTGGCGTTATTTCGACAAATGCATTTTCATTTTCAATGAAAATATCGAAATAGCTTCGGTACAATTTTCATTCAAAATCTGTTGATGTTGATGCTGTTGGTGCTGTTGCAACATGCCAGGCCAAAAACAAAAAATACAACACACACACACACGCTTACAAAGTGATGCATTAGATTCCGGCGCAAAAATTATATTCTTACGCTTTAGCCATAAATCTTGGGCGAGTGATCTCTTGCAATGTAATTGCAGCCAATATATTAACAGTCACGAAATGCATTTCAACAGCAAATGAAAAATGTGAATGTGAGAAATGAAGAAAAAAAAAACGCCCGCAGATCCAAAAATAAAATGAATGGCTTTTTTTGCATTTGCCATATTCCATCTTCATTCGAAAAATAAAACGAATTCAAATGGTCGAAATAATTACTTGATGCCTCAAACTAAGAATTTTTGTATTTTTCCAAACATCAAACTTTCTTTCTCTCTTCATTTCTGTATCGTCTTTCTCTTTCCATCTTTGGCCAAATGTCGAAAATTGTTGAAACTAATTTGTTGATCTTAAATCGCCTCCGCCTCCCGCTGTCTCTTTTTCGCTCGGCCAATCTGCTGGTCGGTTGGTTTGAGTGTTACACTCTAAGTTTAAATAAGCTTCAAAGTATTTGAAAGTTAATGCTATTTCAACTTTCAAAAAGGATTTTGGTATTCTCTG